AACAGGTTTAATGGACTTACAGTTCCACGTGGCTGGGGCAACCTCACAATCATGGCAGGTGGCAAGGAGGAGCAAGTCACATTTTATGTGGATGGCAGTAGGCAAAGAGACAGAGCTTGTGCAGGGAAATTGCCATTTTTAAAACCATCAGATCCTGTGAGACTTATTATCACAAGAGCCTCATGGGAAAGACCTGCCCCCATGATTCAGTTACCTCCTGCTGGGTTCCCCCCACAACATGTGAGAATTCAAGAGGAGATTTGTGTGGGAACATACCCAAACCAATCAAATGCCAACTACAGCTTCATTCAGAAAATTGACAGGCTAGATCAAAACAAAATTTGATAGCATTTAAAACAATAATAAATAAAACTACCCTCTGTGGATTATCTCTAGTTGACTGTATCAAGTAAAATCATCTGTGATTTTATAATTGAAGTGACACATTATACCAAACTTCCTATCAACAGTTTATTATTATTATTAAGACATTTGGCTCAGCATGGAGGCTTATGCCTATAATCCTAGCACTTTGGGAGGCCAAGGTGGGCTGATCACTTGAGCCCTGGAGTTCAAGATCAGTCTGGACATGTTGAAACCTCATCTCTACAAAAAAAAATACAAAAAATTAGCCAGGCATGGTGGTGTGTGACTATAGTCCCAGCTGCTCACGGGATTCTGAGGCAGGAGGATTACCTGAGCTTGGGAAGTGGAGGAAGTCGAGGCTGCAGTGAGCCGAGATTATGCCACTGCACTCCTGCCTGGGTAGCAGAGTGAGTCCCTATCTCAAAAAAAAAAAAAAAGATATTTAATTCATGTTCTGTACGTTGATTGCACCTGCTTGCTCATTTTCTTTAACATGCTACACCTTTTGTTTGCCCCATCATCAGCCAGAGAGCTATCTAATTAGTGTGGTGGCTAAAATGATTCCCCCCCAGAGAAATGAAGGATGTTTGCTCAATGATAATGGTTCAGAGTTAATGTTATTAATTCTGCCATGTGAATCTATTTGAAAAAAGTGCTTCAGTCAAAAGCAAAGAAAATAGTTGAAAATGACTGTCATTTCAATGACTCCAAAGACTGTTGGAGTGGTCCTAGAAAATAAAGCAAAGCTGCATAGATGAAAAGAGAAACACATAATTTTACATTATGTCATTGTTTTCTCGCCAATTATAGAGTGACGGTTCGGGAGAAACAACAATGGTGTTGATAAAATAATGGAGTGTTGAGGAAGAGCCTCAGAAAACACATTGAGGTCTGAAAGCTCTTTGCCTTCATGAAATATTGTTTTCTGTCTCACAAGAAGCAGATGGAATAAATAGATTGGACCATTATCTATTATTCATTCATTCAGTCAGCAAATATTTATTGAGCACCTACTATGTGCCAAGCACTGTTCGAAGCATTAAAGGTTTACAGGGAACAGAGTAGACACAATTCCTGTCCTCCTGGATCTTATATTGTAGTGACTGACAGACAATGAATAAGATTAATGAGTAAAATGTGCAGTATGTTCAATTTTATATGGTGGTGAGTGCTGTGAGGAAAGGCGAAGCAGAGAAGACTAGGACGCATTGGGGTGGAGGAGGTTTGTCATTTACATGGAATGGCTGGGGAATTCTGAGAGGTAGCGTGCTAGTGAACAATTTAGAAGGGAACAGCAGGAGCAAAGACCCTGGGGTGCTTACAAGATTGCCAGCGTCTGGAGCTGAGTGATTACAGGGGAGGATACTGGGACAGAAAGAGGTAAACCAGGTGGGGCCTCCTAGGTCATTATAGTGACTCAGACTCCTGTCGTGTGTGGGACGGGAAGCCACTGGCAGGTTTGGAGCAGACAAGTATAGTTGTAGCAGGATCATCTGGCTACTCTAGTGAAGACAGATTTTTGGGAGGCTTTTGTAATAACTCAGGCAAGAGATGACTGTAGTTTGAGCTAGGCCGTTGAGTTGATGTGGTAAGAAGTGATTCAATTTCCGAATATATTTTGAAGGTAGGATGGATAAGATTTCCTGATGGAGTACATGTGAGGAATGAAAGAAAAAAGCCAAGGATGGCACCAAGACTTTTTGGCAGCTAGAAAAATAGCAACACTATTTCCTGAGATGGGGACACCTGTGAGAAGTCTTGAGTCTTAAATACCTTGATGATAGACAAATGAAGATGCTAAGTAGATGGTTGAATCTGGAGTCGAGTCTTGAATTCAAGGTAGATGTTGGGCTAGCCTGTTCTTATAACATGTAGGTCATGTTTAAAGTCACAAGAATGAACAAGATCACCAAGGGAGAAACCAAGGCCTTCAATGTGTGGCCTCCAACATTTAGGTGGCAAAGAGACTAGAAGAAACCAGAGAAGTAGACTGAGAATGAGTGGTCAGAGTAAGGGATCATAGTGTGTGGTGTCCTCGGAGGAAGAAAGTGTTTCAGGGAGAAGAGAATCAACTCAGTCAAATTTTCTCAAGCAAGGTACACAAGATCAGTATCCCTGTCCCAGAAAGTAGGACAAGGAGAGAACGTGAAGCTCCAGTGATCGCCCAACATCACATATTTGGCATGTAGTAAATATGAAATTCAAAAGCTCAGATTGTGGTTAGGAATGGTAGCTGACATCTGTAATCCCAGCACTTTGGGATGCCAAGGCAGGAGGATTGCTTGAAGCTAGGAGGTCAACACCAGCCTGGACAAGATAGTGAGATAACGTCTCTACATAAAACCAAAAAGTTAGCCAGGCATGGTGTGTGCACCTGTAGTCCTAGTTATTCAGGAGGCTGAGGCAAGAAGATCACTGAGCACAAGAATTCGAGGATACAATGAGCCATGATTGCACCACTGCACTCCAGCCTGGGTAACAGAGCAAGACCCTGTCTCTAAAACAAACAAACAAACAAACAAAAAAAGCTAACCAAAAAAACTCTGATTGTTTGAACTTAACCCAAGCTCTTAAAAGGAAAAAAATAAAGTTTAATCTACCTATTTGTAATATCAGTTACATTTGTAGTTCTACATGCTTTTCTTTTTTTTTTAATTGAAGATCTCTATTTCTTAGTCAAGCAAAAGCAACAAAACGGAAAAGACAATGTAAGAGTTTTAATAAGTGCCTCAAAAATGATAATTTCATTAAAGTGATGAACATAGGTTGAATCCGCTGATATCATTTGTTGTGTTTGCAAAGTGCTTCAGTTTTTTTGTTCTTTGTTTTGCTTGCATTAGAATTGCTTTTCTGCATTTCTGCATTGCTCTGGGCTTCAGCAGCCGCCCTCCTGTTCTTCACAGAGTTCTGCATAGGCTGCCTCTATTCAATCAAATGGAATCTCCAAAGTAACACATTGAATGGGATGTGCAACAAACTCTAAAAAAAGAATGAATATTCAAATACTTGGCAGCTGGCAGTTTCTTAAAATCCTAATTTCTTCATTTAGTGAGATACAAGTGATTTCCAATTTTAGCAACTAAGATAAAATAAATCTTCTGTATGGAACTGCAAAGTAAAATAAATGCTAAACTTTGTTTAAATGTAGATAAGATTGGATGCAGTGGCTCCTGCCTGTAATCTCAGCACTTTGGGAGGCTGAGGTGGGAGGATTTCTTGAGTCTAAGAGTTTGAGACCAACCTGGGTAACATGGCGAAACACCGTCTAAAAAAATACATATATTTTAAATCTAGGTAAGAAGAGATTTGCAAGAAGTATCGCAGCAACCAACATCAAATGAATATCAAATTTTGCATATTTACTATGAGATCCTGAACACTAAAACAAAAGATCAGGAATATGACAGGAATTTAGGGCTGTGCTATTTAACAGCTGGACAGGAGCAGTACTGCACTACTTAAGTGTGCATGCTCTTAGAGTTTTCTAGTCCTGTTTCTTCACCTCTTTGTCACTGCACTTAGTCCACTGACATTTTCTGCCTCTCCTCTCAGGTACCTAGTATTTTTTCCTCCTCCTCCTTCCCCTCCTCCTCCCCTCCTCGTCCTCCTTCTCCCCTCCTCTCTCCCTCCTCCTCCTCTGCCTCCTCTTTCTTCTTTCTTCTTCTTCTTCCTCCTTTCTTCCTCTTTCTTATTTTTATTCTTACTCTTCTTCTTTCTTCTCTTCTTTTTCTCACATTTAGAGTTGCTT